TACCTGGTGGGATCACCTGAGCTTCATTCAGGAGGAAGCTGAGCCCATGGTTGTCCTACTCACACTGGGTTGCTGTCATCTTCCATTAATTTTAACCATTGGCCATGGAACTAGGAGACACCCCAGAGGGTTTCATGGGATCCAGAGACGCACTTCTTCCCCCTGTCCCCACTGTGCAGCAGCAAATATATTCCCCCTTGATAACCAGAATCAGTCAGTCTAGTCAACACGAAAGCACCCACCCACCCACCCCCCTGTTCATCCAGGGCATGAAGAGTCTGAAACCACCAGATGTCAGTCTCAATTTCCAAATCAATGGGACCTCGGTGGTGCTCTGGTGGAAACATTCTTCCTTTGCATACCAAGACCTCTAAACTAGCAGAGCCCAAGGCCTTGGGAAAGGGGAGCAAAAAATTTTTAAGTGATCCAGCCTAAGATTCCCTGACCCATGGATGCTGGAAAAGAGAGAAACATCAACTTGCATTGGTTGCTGAATCAGAGCATATGCCAACTTGGGCCAGCACTTAAGATTTGTACAAAGTTGTCTTCTAGCCAATACTAACCAAGTACCAGTAGGCCATGTCACCAACCCATAAAGCCAGATGATTCTGGTGATAAGAGTTTGTGGCAGCACCTGTGAATCTCATACTCATCCGCCAATTTCTTTACTTCTTTTGCTGAAAAACGTCTCTGGTCAGCAGCAATGCTATTTGGACTACCATGGTTATGAATAAGACATGCAGTAAATCCGCTAATGATGTTGCTGGCAAAAGCATGGCCAGGAGAGAATGCAAAACCATAGCTAGAATAAATGTTTATTCCAGTGAGGGCAAATCTATGCCACTTGCACAATGAAAGGGAGCCAATGTAACCAACCTGCCACCAGATGGCAGGCCAGTCCTCTATGGGTCAGGTACCATAATGAAAGTTCAGAGCCACTGCTGTTGAGGGTTGGACACACCTGTGGTCGGGAGACTAAAGCAGAGACTGCTAAAGTCCACCATGCTCTTCTTCCTTAATAAAATAGCCCTGATGTTATTCAGGTTATCAATGTACCCAACCAAAAAAAGTGTTTCCCAGTATCCTTTGCTACTATTAATGAGACCAGATAACTAAGTTATGGCTAATGAAGTGTAAGTGGAGGTGCACACTTTTTATTCTTCCACGATTCTTCCTTCCTGCTGCTTGGAATGAGTTTGTGAAGGCTAAAGCTCCAGCAGCAATCTTGAATCTTAAGATAAATTTGAAGATGGAAGCTACAACTAAGAAGGTGGAAACTGGATCCCTGATGACTATGGAGTCCTAGACTAAAAGAGAGATAAAATTGTATCTTAATTAAACAATTATTATTTGGAGTTTTCTATAGTATAAGTCAAACTTCATTCTAGTTGATATTTATAGTAACTAAGACAGCAGGGCCACTCTTATTCAACATACTTTTGGAAGTCCTAGCCACAGCAATCAGAGAAGAAAAAGAAATAAAAGGAATACAAATGGGAAAAGAAGTAAAACTGTCACTGTTTCCAGATGACATGATACTATACATAGAAAATCCTAAAGATGCCACCAGAAAACTACTAGAACTAATCAATGAATTTGGTAAGGTTGCAGGATACAAACTTAATGCACAGAAATCTCTGGCATTCCTATACACCAACAATGAAAAATCAGAAAGAGAAATTAAGGAAACACTCCCATTTACCACTGCAACAAAAAGAATAAAATACCTAGTAATAAACCTGCTTAAGGAGGCGAAAGATATGTACTCAGGAAAGTATAAAATACTGATGAAAGAAATCAAAGATGACATAAACAGATGGAGAAATATACCATATTCTTGGATTGGAAGAATCAATATTGTGAAAATGACTATACTACACAAAGCAATCTACAGATTCAGTGCAATCCCTATAAAACTACCAATGGCATTATTCGCAGAATTAGAACAAAAAATTTTACAATTCATATGGAAACACAAAAGACCCCGAATAGCCTAGCCAAAGCAATCTTGAGAAAGAAAAACGGAGTTGGAGGGATCAGGCTCCCCGACTTCAAACTATGCCACAAAGCTACAGTAATCAAGACAGTATGGTACTGGCACAAAAACATAAATATAGATCAATGGTACAGGATAGAATGCCCAGAGATAAACCCATGCACATATGGGCACCTAATTTATGACAAAGGAGGCAAGAACATACAGTGGAGAAAAGACAGCCTCTTGAATAAGTGGCGCTAGAAAAACTGGATGGCTATGGGTAAAAGAATGAAATTAGAGCACTCCCTAACACCATACACAAAAATAAACTCCAAATGGATTAAAGACTTAAATGTAAGACCAGACGCTATAAAACTTTTAGAGGAAAACATAGGAAAAACACTGTTCGCCGTAAACCACAGCAAGACCTTTTTTGACCCACCTCCTAGAGTAACAGAAATAAAAATAAACAAATGGGACTTAATTAAACTTAAAAGCTTTTGCACACCAAAGGAAACCATAAACAAGACAAAAAGACAGCCCTCAGAATGGGAGGAAATATTTCCAAATGAAACAACAGACAAAGGATTAATCTCCAAAATATACAAACAGCTCTTGGAGTTGAATATCAAAAAGACAAACAATCCAGTTAAAAAATGGGCAGAAGACCTAAATAGACATTTCACCAAGGAAGACATACAGATGACCAAGAGGCACATGAAAAGATGCTCAACATCACTAATTATTAGAGAAATGCAAGTCAAAACTACAATGTGATATCACCTCACAATGGTCAGAATGGCCATTATCAAAAAATCTAGAAACAATAAATGCTGGAAAGGGTGTGGTGAAAAGGGAACCCTCCTGCACTGTTGGTGGAAATGTAAATTGATACAACCACTATGGAAAACAGTTCCTTAAAGAACTAAAAATAGAACTACCATATGACCCAGCAATCCCACTACTGGGCATATACACTGAGAAAACCATAACTCAAAAAGAGTCATGTACCACAGTGTTCACTGCAGTACTATTTACAATAGCCAGGACATGGAAGCAACCTAAATGTCTATCAAGAGATGAATGGATAAAGAAGATGTGGCACATATATACAATGGAATATTACTCAGCCATAAAAAGAAACGAAATTGAGCTATTTGTAGTGAGGTGGATGGACATAGAGTCTGTCATACAGAGTGAAGTAAGTCAGAAAGAGAAAAACAAATACTGTATGCTAACACATATATGGAATCTAAAAAAAAAAAGTTTTACTGATAAACCTAGTTGCAGGGCAGGAATAAAGATATAAACATAGAGGATGGACTCGAGGACACAGGGTGGGAGGGGGAAGCTGGGGCGAAGTGAGAATAGCATCGACATATATACACTACTGAATGTAAAATGGATGGCTAGTGGGAAGCAGCCGCATAGCACAGGGAGATCAGCTCCTTGCTTTGTGATGACCTAGAGGGGTGGGATAGGGAGGATGGGAGGGAGGCTCAAGAGGGAGGGGATATGGGGACATATGTATGCATGTGGCTGATTCACTTTGTTGTACAACAGAAACTAACACGGTATTGTGAAGCAATTATACTCCAATAAAGATCTATTAAAAAAAAAAAAACGATGGTAGGGAAAATCTAAAATATAACAATAATTACAGTAAGTGTAAATGGATTGAAGTATCTGACCAAAAGACAGAGACTTTTAGAAGAAATATTTTTAAAGCCAATAATACGTCATTTATAACAGACTCACAACAAAGGAAGAAAAGATTAAAAAACGAGGCCAGGGTTCTTATTGTAGGGCCCATGGACTCTCACTGAGTCATTGGATAGAATTCAGGGAGTCCATGAACTTAGAAGTAAAAAAATATGCCTTTAATTTTACTAACTTCTGAGTAAAGTTTAGCCTTCCCATCATTTATAAAGGTAGACAACAAATCACAGAAATATTACAGTACCTGTGACTTTGTCACCAATGTAAATCATAAATATTTTCACATCACTTTATTGCAGTATTCCAAAATACATTTCACTCCTATCATGACTTCAAAATCACAGTAGTTATTAGGCTTACTGTTAGAGCTTGTTATTTAATGCATTAATTTAAAAGTACACAAATATTTTAACTATTCTGATAACTGTATTTCAATACAACTGGCTTGCTTTATAACTCTAAGCATTTAAAACATTATTTTGAAAAGAGTTTTATAGGGGAGTTCCCTGGTGGCCTAGTGGTTAGGATTCTGGGCTTTCACTACAGTGGCCCTAACCCTTTAAAAAAAACACACACAGCTAGTTTACTAAAACCGACTCAAGAAGCAATAGAAAACTCAAATAGCTCTACAATATTGAAAGAAATTCAATTGATAGTTTAAATTTTTTTCTTAAAAGAAAACATGAGGTTCAGGATGGTTTTACAAGAAAATTCTCCCAAAAAGTCAAATGGATTACTCCAACATTTTCCAAATTCCTTCAGAGGCCAGATAAGAAAGTTTTCAGTGGATATTGAAAACTTGATTATAAAATGCACAGAGAAGAGCAAAGGCTCAAGTGGCAGGCGGGGATGGGGGGAGGTGAGGGTATTTGGCCTCCAGAAATCAATACTTATTATAAAGTTATAATAAAGACAGGTATGGTATGGGTGTAGGAGTGAAAAAATTCACCAATGGAACATAATAGAGTCCAAAACAAGTCCCACTCACATATAGAGTTAGCTATGGGGACTTCCCTGGTGGCGCAGTGGTTAAGAATCCCCCTGCCAATGCAGGGGACACGGGTCTAGGAAGATCCCACATGCCACGGAGCAACTAAGCCCGTGTGCCTCAACTACTGAAGCCCGCGCGTCTAGAGCCCGTGCTCCACAAGAAGAGAAGCCACCGCAGTGAGAAGCCCCTGCACCGCTACGAAGAGTAGCCCCTGCTTGCTGCAACTAGAGGAAGCCCGCACACAGTAATGAAGACCCAACGCAGCCAAAAATAAGTAAATAAATAAATTTATTTTAAAAAAAAAGTGTTAGCTATGATCATGAGTAACTGTTTATTGAACGAATAAGTGAGTGAATGGTATTTGAGCTCTAACATGGGGACTCTGGGTGGTTTTTCTCACTGAGCAAAGGCCTGGGGGCGGAGGTTGGGGAGGCTTTGAGGACCTTGATAATCTCCATTGTCACTCAAAACATCTTCTTTGATATTCCTATTCTTTGATCTGGGCAATTAAGTTTTCTTAATTTTATGTGAAGTGGAGATTAAAGCATGTTTAGAAAATGCCATTAATATTGCTCATCTTGGGAATTCCCTGGTGGTCCAGTGGTTGGGACTCGGAGCTTTCACAGCCGGGGCCCCAGGTTCGATCCCTGGATGGGGAACTAAGATCCTGCAAGCCAAAAAAAAAAAATGTTTTTATATACGTATTTATCTATAGTTGATCTATAACTTAGCTCTAACCAAGTTTCCAGGCCTACCCTCTCCTTCTATCCAGATGACCACCCCAAGCCCCCTCTATAAGGAATTCTAGAGCTACTGCTGGCTCTCAAGCTCCACACAGCTGGGTTTGTAATGGTCACTGTCCCCCTTTATGGCATGGGTAGGTAAAGAGCTTTGAAGGCGCCAAGGGCCATCAGTAGCCTGGAGGTCGTCCATGTCCTCTTGGTACCGTGGAGCCAAGGAGCCCAGCCCCTGGCCTGGGCAGGGCTGGGCTGAGCTGAGCTGGGGTGAGTCAAGACAGGGCAGGGGACAGATACAGGGTTGCTTAGTGAGGCCTCTTAACAGGCCTGGCAGGCCAGCAGGGCACCGTAAGTCTTTTCCCAATTGTGATGCTACTTGGCCACCAAAAGCTTTGGAATTATTCCCATGTCAAGTGGGTGCACATGGTCCCAGGACATCCTTTGCTTTCTTTCCTCGAGCCTTGGGGGAAGGGCTTTTGGGGTGCCTGGGCTGTACAGGGATAGAAGAGGCAGGAGAGCCCTCTCGCTGCTTCCTCCACCAGCCCTGCCTCAGATCCTGGAAACTGCTCTAGATGCCGAAGGTATAAATCCAGGAGGAGAGTGCAACAGAGTGGGAGGGAACCAGCTGCTTCTCTGAGGGCCAAATATGTGGAAAGGAGGTGTGGGGAATCTGAAGGAGGGAAGGGAGGGAAGGGGAAGGGGAGACTCTACAGTTGGGTGCTTGCCTGTGTCTCCACGTGGCTGAGAGCTCCAGGCTCAGGACACAAAGATGCTACACTGCAGAACCCAGAGATGTCAGCGTGCAGAGCATGGAGTTGCTGCTTCATTTCCCACCTCCCCTCCCTTTCCCTTTCCCCACACCACCCATTTAAGCCCTAAGAGAAGCTACAGATTCACTCCTGTTTGCTGCGGGTCTGGGGACATTTGGATGCCTCTGGATGCCCTAATTGGTATTCTGCCCTTCCTATGTAATCTTGGCCAGGTCACTTAATGACAAAAACACCATTTGCATGGAGTCACAAAGGATGCTTACATCATGACGTCATGGGATCCTCCAACCATGCTCACTGTAACAAATTGTATCTCATTCAATCCTCATTACAAATGCTACATGATACTGTTAGTGCACCCATTTTACAGATGAGAAAACTGAGGCTTAGAGAGGTGGTATTAACTTCCCAAAGTCATACAGCTAATAAATGGCAGAACTGGAATTCAAACTAGGGTCTACTAAACTCCAGAGCTCGAGCCGTTCTGTAATCCTAGAATTCAGGACAGAGATGGTCACTATCCCCACTGTACTGATGAGGGAACTGACTCAGAAAGGCACGTCACCTGCCAACAGTTGTACATATGGGAAGTAGTGGAGCCAGGATGCAAACTCACTTCTTTTACCAGCAGCCCAATGTCTATTTTGCCAACAACAACAACAAAAAGTGAGGCGTCCTGAGTAGATGATCTCAGAGGTTCCCTCCAGCTGAGATCACAGTGGCACCCATCCCCTGACCCTCTCACCCATCAGTCTGTCAGCAGTGGGAGTGGTCCCCAAGGGAGAGTGTGAAGCACACGTGGACACAGTGGCATCCTTCCACACTGGGACACACACCACACCCTCTGTCCCCAAACCAAGGAGGGCTCCTCTCCCTCACCGGGCCCCGCCCAGCATCCCCAGAGGCACGCACCTGGGAGACTCTAGGCAGGGACACACCCCGGGGGAGGAGCTGCTGTCGCGGTGGGGCCCAGCCCACACTGGCTGGGAGCTCCCCTTCCGCTCCTCCGCGGGCCCCAGGGGACCGACATGGCCCAGAAGAGTCCCAGCCCCGCCCTGGAGCCCGAGCACGTCCAGCGGCTGCTGCTCTCCTGCCGGGAGGCCAAGAAGTCCGCCTACTGCCCCTACAGTCGCTTCCCCGTGGGGGCTGCCCTCCTCACCGGGGACGGGAGGATCTTCTCCGGTAAGGGCGGTGCCTTGGGGTCCCCCTCCGTGGCAGCCTGGGTGGGAGGCCAGAGGAGGACAAGAAGGAAGGGCGGAAGGAGGGGCACTCTCTCCCCTCTTCCCTGGGCCGCTCCTGTAACTCTGCCACTCACCCCTGCCCTGCTTGCTGTCCCAGACAGTGGGGATGAATATTCTGCTCCAATCCAGTGGCTTTCCGTTCTTGGAGGACTGGGAAGCTGAGGAGAGATGGGGAAGGAAGTGGGAAGGGGAAGCAGGAAAGGGATGCCATAAACTCAGAGCATCTGCAGTCCCTGAGGTGGGAGGGAGAAGGTTAACACTTTCTGAGCCCTCCTCTACGTCTGGCACCCTACAAAGGCTTCCACTGCTACAGGCAAGTCCTCACCGCCCACGCGCTGAGCCAGGTGTTATGCCCATTTTTTCAATGAAGAAACTGAGGTCCGGAGGTGACATGACTTGCTCAAGGTCACACAGGTTGCTGTGACCAGTGCTAGGGTCCCTCAAGCCCTGCTTTCTTCCTGTCACCTACCATCCAGGGGGATGGCTGGGGGTGAAATCGAGGAACCCAGGGGTTACTCCTTAGTGGGGTGTGGGCCTTACAGAGGGTCTTAAGGGAAAGAAGGCAGTCAGAGTTTGGGTGAGCAGCCCTGAGTGCCGGCCTGGGGAGGGAGGGACAGGAATCTGAGTTGGCACTAACCTGCTCCTAAGCTCCTTCTCTTTGGTTTGTTGTTTTTATAGAAAAGCTCACTTGAACAGAAATTCAGACATGTTTTTGCTAAGCTTAGGGACATCCTCTTTTAGGACAGTGGGGAACGGGGCGTGGAGGTGGCCGGGAAGCCGTGCCCCTCCCCCCTCCCATTCCCAGCACCACCCTGCCCCCAGGGCAGATGAGAATTGGCCCAGAGTGATAGATGAGAAGCCCCAGCCCTGCTGCCAGGAAATCCCCCTTCCGCCTGGCCTGCGCAGCAGCTAAAGGACCGGAGGCTCACTTGTGTGCCTCTCATTTGTAACCCCACCCACACCCACACCCCCAGCATTCCGGGGCCAGGCGTGAGCCCCTGCCTCCACCACTGCTCAGCTGCGAGTCTGGCTGGGAGCCACACCTCCCCCTCTATAGTGGCCCCTTGATGTTCATCTTATCTCTTGTCTTTTGTGACAAGAGATATCTCTTATCTTTGTCTTTTGTCTTGTTTCACGAGTCACCTGGGTCTTAAACATCTTTCAGCACCTTGAGTGTGTGCTACCATGTGAAAGGACCGTGACTCAACGTTATCCATCTAACCTTTCCAGTCTTTCAAGGCAGTTATTATATCGGCCCTTTGCAGAGAAGGAAGCTGAGGCTCAGAGAGGTTAAATGCCCAAGATCACAAGCTGAGATGGGAACCCAGAGCTCCCCTGACTCCCAAGTTTGCTTTCCTGTGCGGAATAAAGAATCTCTGAGTGTCATGTGGAAATTCAGTCCTGGCCCGGGGGCTCAGATGAGCATTAAACATTAACCACCACCTCAAACAACGTTGCAATCCACACCAACCCCATGTCTCAGGGCCTTGAACATGCAATCAGCCATTGGTTCCTTCCAGCGCTTCCATGTCCCCTCCGGATGGTGTACAGAGAGGGGCCCTCCCCATCCTTGCACTGATTTATTCATTCAACAAATATTTGCCAAGCACCAATTACTGGGTAATGTACCAGGTGCTGGAGATACCACTGTGAGCAGAAATGACAGTCCCTGCCCCCCACGGGGGTCCCCTCCTCTTGCACAGGCCATGGCTCAAAGTGGGAGCCTCAACCAATGATTGTAGGAGAGAATGGATGAAGTGAGCAGAGGTGTGACCTATTTAAAGGGCAGGGAAGGACCTGATGTCACCGGAAAAAGGGTCATGCGGTGGGCATGTATGGAGTTCTTATGCGATGGGGTACAGGCCCTGGAGGAGTTAAAGGCTCCTGGGTTTGCATCCTGGCATTGCTGTTTCTCAGCTGTGTGACCCTGGGCAAGACCCTTCACCCTCCTGAGTCTCAGCTTGCACATCTGTAAACCGAAGATCACAATACCGGCCTTTCAGGACGGCTGTGGACAAAGCTGGTGTTTCTGGCCTGGCGTTCCTCCCTGATTGTTGGTGCCTGGGCTGCATTAGTCATTAAAGATGTTGAATTTCACCCCCGGTCGTGACGCTTTAAACGAGCTAATGCCTTTAAAGGAGCTAAAGTGCTTAGCACCGTTTCTGGACCCAAATAAGAATATCACAAATGGCGGCTGCTTCTACTGTTAATGGGGTGGTGGTGATGACTTGGAGGCAGACTGCGGAGCACTTCTGAAGGCCAGGTAGAGACACTGAGATTTGATGAGGTAGCCAGTAGGGAGCCGAGAAGAGTAACAGGAAAGTGGGGTTTGAGGACACTGAGGCTGACAGGTACTCGAGGAAGACTGGGACAGAGGAAAGAGCGCAGGGGGACAGTGTCTGTCTTACTCACTGACAACACGTTGCCCGGCCGATAGTTTAGGTTCGTTGAATGCGTGAATGAGTGGTTTGGCCTAGGACAGCGGCAGACGGGACGAAGAAGGAAAGATCTGAGAGGGATTATACAGGACTAATGGACTGGGTCTAGGGTGGGCAGTATTAGAATAAAGGAAAGGAACATGGTTCTAGGATTTCCAGCCATGGAGACCAGGGAAAGGATGAGACAGAGCTGGATTGTGCTGGGGACATGGTGGGCAGGGACCCACAGCCATATTAATAACTGCAATGGATTAAGCATTCTCTAAGCACTTCTATGAAAGATCTTTTGTAATCTCACAGCCACCACATGAGAGGAGACAATGAGTGTCACATGCATTAGTCAGAGCACTTTGAGTTGCCAACGCCAGAAACCAACCAGAACCACAATAGGCAAGGGTAGATCTTGCCTCAGGGACAGCTGGATCCAGGAACTCTAATGCCACCATGCTCTTCTTCAGCCTTCTGGATGCTGGTTTCTTTCTCTTATCCTAAAGGTGGGCTCTCTCCAGGCATCAGGGAACATGAGTGCAGGCATCCCTAGTTTACATTCTTACAGCCTTAAAAAGCAAAGAGGAAAGAACTCTTCCCCACTAGCTCGAGATGGAAAAATTCCAGGGAAGGGTTCTGATTGGTCCATCTCCAATCACATGCACATCCCTGGGCCAATCACGGTTGTCGTGATGGGGTAGCATGATGGGGCCAGCTGATTCACACACATATTCCTTCTCAGTGCAGGGTGGGTGGGTCTATTACCACAAGAAGGACTGCGGAGGTGCCAAGCAGACCAAACCAAGAGCCAAACGCACATTTTATGAATGAGATAACTGAGGATCAGATTTTATCTGCTTCCAAATTCCTTGCTTTTTCTGCTGCCCCTCGCTGCATGAGGATACGTGGATACACAGAAGGGGCCAGAGAGAGTTGTGCTGAGGAGGGGGGACAGATGGAGGGCATTTACCAGAATCCCTGGATCTCCTTACTTAGAAGGAAAGGGAGGGTAGATGGCGGTGAGGCAGGACTTGGAGAGGAGGGACCTTGAACAACCAGAGGAAACCTGATAGGGCAGCAGGGAGTGAATTAGAGACGATTAGGAGGCAGAGAGGGCACAGCTGAACTTAGACACTGAGTTCACAACTCGTAGCGGGCCGAGTCTGCCCAGTTCTGTAACTGTCTCCAGCTGAACGAAACACCAGCCTCCGTGGAGTTTGCGCCCTCAGAGGCAGCTGGTGTTCTGTCCAATTCAAAAGCAAGTCTGAGAGCTTTGCTGTCACAATCTCATAATGATGATCTTATTTCTTCTATTACCCCTGACCCCGGCCAGGGCCTTGTGCCCCTCGCAGCTGGGCCACCAGGATGGTAGTTAATAACTACAACAATTACCTTCTGTCACTGCTGTGGGGAGAGTGACAGAGAGAGGAGGAGCTCACCGGAGAAGAAAGAGATGCTGGGGGAAGGGGCAGTGAGGACACAGAGAGAAGAGTTAAGATGGGACACAAGGGGGCTGGGGGGACGAAGTCAGCCCGGGGCCCCCAGCCAGCGATGGTGGATTGCCGGGTGGGAGGGCGTGGAGGAGACTCATGGAGGACCACCCTGCAGGCACATCACCCAAGGGATGGGGGAGTTTCTCTCCTTCAGCTCATGCTCTTGGGGTGGTGGTCTGTCTCTCCCTTTCTGCAGAGGGATTGCAGCACTCCATATGTTTCATTGACATTTGGCGGGGAGGCAGGGGGAGCACTTTTCTGGATCACGTGTAATTAATTTGGGAGGAAAAAAAACATGTTAAAAAACAACAAAAAAAAACGTTTAAGGACATCCTGGTTAATTGCTCAATTCGGCTCGTCTTGGCTTAACCTTTAAACCTAATCCTTCATCTGTCTTCCCCTGACCAGCCCCTGATTCCCTCCCTGGGCTCCCTTTCTCCCCCAGGACCACCCTTTGGAGCTCTATATGGCCCCGCTCCACAGTGTTTGACCCAACGCAGGCTCCCAGCCCCACCCATAGCACTTCTAGGTGAGTCAAAGCAGGCTTCCCTAACCAGCTTCCTCTCCTTACAGCCCTGCCCACCCTCCACGCCTCGCTCCCGCTGTGCCCCCCACCCCAGCTTCTTCCACTGGTCCTCTGCACTGTCACTCGAAAGCAGCTTATTACAAAGATGAGCTTCACTAAAATCCCTCGTCTCTATAGCTGAGTTGGAATAGGATCCATTCGTGAAACTGTGCGTTGCACTTGAAGCAGAGGCAGGAACATGGAGAGAGTGGAGTATTTCTTCAAGCACGCGAACGTGACAGTTCTCTAGTCCAGTGATTCCCACGTGTGGTCCCAGACCCACAGCCTCAGCACCTCCTGGGAACTTGTTAGAAGTGCCAGTTAACGGGCTCCAACCCAGAACTACTAAAGCAGGAGCTCCAGGGGTGGAGCTGAGAAATCTTTAAGAAACCCTCCAGAAGGTGCCGAGGCCCACTTGCTTGAGTGTGATGAACCCCCGCTCGAATCTTAAGATCCCTCGGAAGGCAGAGCGGACGCAGAGAGGGGGACATGCTCTCCGGCAGTGCTCTCTTCTCGGGGGGGACTGGGTCCCAGTCACCTCCTTGTGAATTTCTTCCCTGGCTGATGTCTCGATGACATCTGACTCCAGCCCTGCCTTAAGCAACAAACCTCCTCAGAACATGGCCTCACTGAAATGCCACACAGAAAGACACTTCTTTGTATCTGTCATGTCAGGATGTGAGTTGACTCCCTGACCCCCACCTCAGATTTACGCTCTGTAAAATGGGGTTAGAATAGGATCTGCCTCACAGAGTTGCTAAAAAGGTTAACAATAGAATGCAGATGAAGTGTTCCACAAGTGCCTGGCAAAAAAAAGAGAGCAATAAAAGAAAAGATTAAAACAAAGCAATGAGTAATAATAGCACTACCATCATAGTATTATTTCTGGTCCAATCTTATAATTATGGATTTCTAACTTGGTGCCATCCCAGCCCGTCTCTCCTGTGTGTTTCAGAGTCAGTGAAGGGAACACAGGGAATGGAGTTGGTTTGCCTGTATACATGACGTTTTGTGCTCTGGGCTTTAGGAAAGCAAAACAAAATTGTCTGGCCTTTCAGGATCAACAGTTTATGGGTTTCCTTCCTCCCTTCCTCCTCCTCTTTTTTTTTTTTTTTTGTTTTTTTAGAAGCAAGACTCAGAAATTACACTTGAACTTGCTAGAGGCCCCACATACAGTTATTCCTTTGCATCTCAGAGATTTAGCACTAAAGTGAGAAATTCTACTCTTTCGATAATAAGTAACTGAGAGCCTCGCTGGCCTCACTGTTTTAGGCCCTGGGCACACTGGCTGTTCCAGGCCCTGGGCATACAGCAATGTACAATATAGACAAAGTCCCTGCCCTCAGGAATTTCTACTTGGGGGATAATGGGGGAATTAGATATTAAACACATTCATTTCAGGAAAGTGTGAAGTGTTAAAACAGGATAAATGGATTAAGAGGGTGGGAGGTGAGGGGGGAGGAAACAATTTTAGATAGAGTGATCAGGGAAGACTTCTCCGAGGAGATGACCTTTGAGCAGAGACCTGGGTAGAGTGAGCCATGTGCTTATAGGGGGAGGAGAGTTCCAGGCAGTTAGAACAGCTGGTGCAAAGGCCCTGTGGCAGGTATATACTTGGGGAACAGCAGGAAAGCAAAAGGAGTTGAGGTCCAGGATGTAGGCAGGTTGGCACCAAATTACGAGGGCCTTGTAGTCATGGAAAGAATTTCAAAGTTGCCTGAAGGACAGAGACAGGGCCACTGTGACACCTTGTCTGGAAGGAACAGAAGCTCAGTCATAGAGGCCTTCCACCACCAAAGCCTTGACTATCATGCAATTAAGAACAGCAGCTCCAGGGCTTCCCTGGTGGCGCAGTGGTTGAGAGTCCGCCTGCTGATGCAGGGGACACGGGTTCGTGCCCCGGTCGGGGAAGATCCCACATGCCGCAGAGCGGCTGGGCCTGTGAGCCATGGCCACTGAGCCTGCGTGTCCGGAGCCTGTGCTCCGCAACGGGAGAGGCCACAACAGTGAGAGGCCCACGAACCACAAAAAAAAAAAAAACCCAGCAGCTCCAGCTGCTGAACACTTACTCTCCATGCCAGGCTTTGTGCTCATTGCTTTACACGCGCGATCTCAACTCATTCTCACTAGAGGCCTGCGAGGAATGTGCTGTCATCTTCATTTTACAAATGAGCACCCTGAGCCTCAAGGAGGTTCAGTCCCTTTCCCAAATTCTCAGAGCCAGGAGGGCAAAGAACAAACTCTCCCTCTCCTTAAGTGGCCCGTTGAAGTTTTTACACACAGTGAAGGAAGAGTTCTCTGTATGAGGTCACTGTGAACTTCAAAAGCAGACACAGGCAATCATCCTGAGAGGCCGGGCCCTTTGCAGTCCGGCAATTTGCTTTAACATCACATCAGCACAACCCAAGATTTATGTGAATCACGTCTAATGGGAAAAGTGTCCCTGAGGCAGGGATGAGGCAGGGGTGGGAGGGTTGCTAGACGGGAAGTGGAGTGGGGAGCAGCTCTTCTGCTTCTGGGAGAGGCAGAAGTCAAATGCAGCAAGGTCACAGGTCGGCAAAGGTGGGAGGGGCAGGCAGGTCTGAGCAGGCAAGGGTATGTTTAAAGGAAGCCATTTCCAGCAGGCATCGGGAAACTGTCTGGGGAGACTAGGTAGGGAGCAAGAAAGACTCATTCATTTATTCATTTAACTTTCACTGACCTAGCAGAGAGCCTGAGCATTTAGGGGCCACTTATCCAGGCTACAGTAACTCACATGTGAATATGAACAAATGCTTTGCCAAAGTAGGCAGTCGATAAATATCAACCACTCCTTTCATGGTTGCAGCTCCCTGATGGCTCCCTGTCCTGTATCCCAGCTGTATTAACTGATCTCTGTAGGGTTGCAAATGATAGGAATGCTATTTTTTAAACTATTTTAGGCAAAAGGAGGCTGCATTGGTTCCTATAACTAAATGGTGGCAGAGCTGGAGTGTTTCTGGGCTTCAAGGGCAGCTGGCATCAGGAGGCCGGACTCTTTTCCCACCATCTCTCATCTGAGTGTCCATTTCATTGCCTCCTATTGGTGTTCTCCATAAAGAAGGGAAACTAGCTGGGCCCAGGCCCAGCTCCTGGTGTTAGAGAGGGACTGATGGTTCCTCACGCAGGAGAACTCTGATTGGCCTAGTGTGGGTCAGGTGCTCAACTCTGATTGGCCCAGTGTGGGTCAGGTTTCACCCAACACTTCCACTCACATCCCATTGGCTAACCCTATAGGACTGCCCCAAGCTTCTAGGGGGGCTGGGAAACATAGTCTCCAGCTGGGTAGGCATGTGCCCAACTAAACTCCAATGGGTTCTACTGAAAGTGTGAGCACTGGGAACAATTAGTCTTTGCCACAAGACCCCCTGTGGCCTGTAAGTATCTGTACATCTTTCTTCCCACACGTAGGACCCACTTATAAACTTTCTGAGGGTGACAACCCAAAGTCCCCCCAGTCACTGCATTCCGCTCTAACAGCAGAATCCCTTGGTGGTGCAGAGCCCACCTTCTCAGGTCGGGTGTGGCCTTGCTAATCCAGTGGCCTGAAAACTAAAAATGAATCATCTGTCCCCCACTTCACACCCACTCTGGCCATACACAACGTGGAGCAGGAGAGGCTAACAGTCATCAAATCTCCCATTAGGAAAACAGAACACCTGTTGGCCACCAGTCCGTGCAGTTATCAGACCTGCTGGGCAAGAAGTGTGAAAACTCCCTGCCCCGGGGTACACCTTGCCTCCCCTTTCTGCCCTGGGGGTGACCCCCTTGTCCACGGCCCACTGGGGCCCCTGGCTTTGCCCTCTGGGAGCTTCTTCCTCGACCGCTATCCTCCTCAGCCTTACCTCTGAAGTGGGTGTCAGAGAGAACGCTCTCCTTGGGGGCACACAGCTTTCTCAACTTACTCCTGATGGTGGAGTCTTGGGGGCCCCAGATTTCTTTAGGAGTTGAACAATCACAGGCTTTTGTAGGCCAGACTTTTGGGTTCTCTGGCTATCCAAATCTATCAAAAACTTAGAAACCTTCTGGTCTGTTTGCTTCCACTTTCATACAGGAGTAGCACACCCAAAGAATCCTTTCTGTGCAATAGTTCTTAAGCCCGCCAGCTCCCTTCTTTACTAACTGGCTTCCCTGCCCAGCCCAGCCCTGCTGCCTCATTTTAATGGTGGCTACCTTGAGGCACCTGAAACAATGACTGGGTGGAAATGACAGCCTTAATCAGATCTTTGCCACAGGGCTGATTCACATTGCTAGGTAGAAAAGTCCTAGGTAGAAAAGTGTGTACCATGGTTTGCCTTCCAGGTTATTGCAGGGTGGGGTTTTACCAAATAATCTGCCACAGAGTAGCAAGGGCCATCGGCTTTCCATCTTGCCACATCTGTATTTTCTTTCACATTGCCCAACTGCTAAGTCAAGGCCACATATTTTTGATTTTTCTTTTTTTTTTTTGGTCAAAGCTACATCTTATTTTTAGCACAAATTTCTGTTTTGGTTAGATACAGGTTAAATTACTGTAACAAAAATATCCCAAGGGCTTCCCTGGTGGCGCAGTGGCTGAGAATCTGCCTGCCAATGCAGGGGACATGGGTTCGAGCCCTGGTCTGGGAAGATCCCACATGCCGTGGAGCAACTAGCCCCGTGAGCCACAATTACTGAGCCTGTGCGTCTGGAGCCTGTGCTCCGCAACAAGAGAGGCCGCGATAGTGAGGGGCCCGCGCACCGCGATGAGTGGCCCCCACTTGCCGCAACTAGAGAAAGCCCTCGCACAGAAACGAAGAGCCAACACAGCCATAAATAAATAAATAAATAAATAATTTAAAAAATATCCCAAAATACAATGACTCATACCTGACAGAATTCTCTTTTTCTCTCACATGATGATTCAGAGTAGGCAGCTGGTGCAGGGCAAGTAGGCAACTCAGCTCTGTTCCAGGAGTTGGCCAGGGTCCCAGGTTCCTTCTGTGCTGTTGCTTCTCCATCCCTGTGAATATAAAGCGCGTGGTCAAAGGTGTCCCACCCCAACCCAGCCTATGGAGGGGAAAAGAAAGGAAGTAAAGGGCAAGCAGTCTCTTTACAAAAGATGTGATCCAGAAGTTTCCTACCTCACTTTGGGCCACATCCCATTAGCCAAAACTTAGTCACATGGCCGTACTCTGCTGCAAGGGAGGCTGGGAAATATAGTCTCTGAGTGGCCATGTGATCAGCCATATGGGAATGGGAATCACTTGTATTACTTAAAGGAAGAAGGAGAAAATGAATACTGGGGAACAACGAATATCCTGCCTCAGGGAGAAGGCAAGCTATGAAGAGTGACATACTGAATATGACAGCCTGATGGTCAAGGGAAAGCCCAGCTCCTGTGGCCATTGGTTCATGGCCTCACCTCCCTGAAAATGCGGAGTCTGTTAGTCAGCCAATCTGGCTATGCCAGTGCTTTGTTACCTGGGAGCAGCCCTTGCCCATTGCCCCCAGGAACACTCCAGAGAACACCCCTGGGGTGGAATCCCTTTGTGCAATCACAAACATCTTTTGCAAAGCTTGAGAGCTTTTGTTTGTCAGTTTGTTGGTTTTGACAGTTTTGTTTTGCAATACACCTCACAGAGAACCCTGGTTGAACCCTGACAGCTGGTATCCACACCAAAACTTTTGGAGACTTCCCTGGCGGTTGGTCCAGTGGTTAAGACTCCACGCTTCCACTGCAGGGGCCACAAGTTCAATCCCTGGTCGGGGAATCACGATCCCACATGCTGTGCCACGCTGCATGGCCAAAAATTATTTTAAAAAAAATTTTTTTACTCAGGTGCAATCTTTGAATCAGGATCACCACCACACCCCACCCTGTGGCTTCTGTCTCTGAGACCCAGGGTGGGGGGCTCTGCTCATCTTCTTAAGCCTTGGCATCTCCCTTGGCCCTGACCTGACCTCTGGTGGGGAGATGAGGCTGAGTTAATCTGCCCTGTGATGCTGCCCCTGCTTCCAGGCTGTGCTTCGAAATGCAGGCATCAGATAAGTGATGAGAGTGGGAGGTTCTTGGGAAAAACCACTGCACCAGTGGGTCACGGAGTCTCCCAACGCTTCTGGTCAAGTTGCCCTCTCCTTGCCCGCACCTTGTTCCTAGTAGCGGGTCCCTCCCAGCACTGGAATGGGGTAAGCCTCTTACTCTACATATGCAACAGGAAGTGGCTCTGCTGCAAATAGCACTGGTCTCTCCTCTCTTCTCAGGGTGCAACATAGAAAATGCCTGCTACCCACTGGGCGTCTGTGCTGAACGAACCGCCATCCAGAAGGCCATCTCAGAAGGGTACAAAGAGTTCAGGGCAATTGCTATCTCCAGGTGAGTGGGAAAGGCTGCTCACAGCAATATTCATTCATCTATTCAGCCAACATCCACCACACACCAGTTATTCATCCATTCATTCATTCATCTAACATGTGCTTATACTGCGCTTCCTATGGTGTGGGGCACTCTAGGGCTGGGCTGAGTGCTGAGGGTAGAAGATAAATAAGAAATGGACTCTGCCCTTGGTGAGCCTGAAGAGCAGGTAAACAAGCAAGACAACTCTAAGACAAAGGCAGGCGCGCTCTTGTTCTAATAATAGCGCAAAACACAACAGAATCCCTATAAGATACAATAGAAAGGCAGCAAAGAAACAAAGCTAGAGGGACCTAAAAATCACCTGGTATAGACTTGCCTGGCCACTATACCCATTTTACAGTTGAAGAAACTGAGACCCAGAGATGATGAGCAACCTTCCTAGGAATTAGTGGCGAAGCCGAGACAGATACATATCTAGAGTCTGACTCCAGGGCTCATTCCACTGTGCCATGCTGTGCCAGGAAAGGAAACCTTCTTCCCTGCTCTCCTTGAGCTGATACTGAGATCCGTCCTTCACTGTACCAGCTCCTTCACTTGGCATCAATCACCTCTAGGTGCAAGAACCAGGATAAAAGGACAAGCTGGTGGGGTGACACCCAGGCAAACCCAGGCTATGGTCTAAACTGATGAGATTCCAGCCCAGGTTCTGGCTGAACAAGAGCACTTATTAACTCTCTCTCCAGGCCCCAGGCATAATTATCCAAGCTCCCACGTGTGTGCCCTCAAAGGGAATTCGTTGAGTTCTTACTGGCCCTGGACCCAGACTCAGTGGCTTCAGGATTCAAAGCATGTGAATGGGCTCTTTTATTAATTTGGACCCCATTATGCTTCTGATTTAATGACGAATTGCTTCTCTGTGTACTGTTGCATTGTCTATGAGAGTTCTCGTAGCAAGAGAACGGTGCAAGGAAAATAACTTGGGAAGTTTTGAATCCACCCGGAAAGAGACTGCAAGGCTGACCAAGTGTTGGTCTTTAGGGACATCCGGGTGCATGGGTCATGGACTAGGTGTGAATGATCTCTTCATTGTGGTGGAGATGCAGGACCTTTCTGGCGGAAATGTAGGGGCTGAGAGCAAGGCCTATGGCGTCTGTGTGACAGAAACCAGCCCCCATTTCTTTTTTTTTTAATATTTATTTATTTGTGTATTTTTATTTGGTTGAGCCGGGTCTTAGTTGCGGCGGGTGGGCCCCTTAGTTGCAGTGTGCGAACTCTTAGTTGTGGCATGCGTGTGGGATCTAGTTCCCTGACCAGGGATCGAACCCAGGCCCCCTGCATTGAGAGAGTGGAGTCTTAACCATTGTGACACCAGGGAAGTCCCCCCATTTCTTTTATAAGATCCTAAATTTGGCCTCAGTCTGGCCCCCAAGGTGGTCCGCATTATTGAAGGTTTTCTTCCCTGAGTAACGGAAGCGAAGGATGCACTTCTGGAGAAGGGCCCCAGCTTCCAAGAGCTCTCCCTGTGACCAAGGTCTGTCCTGGCTTCCCTCCGGCTTTGGGAGGAATAAATGAGGCCGCCCTGGGAACATTTTGTGCGGACGAACAGAGATCAGGATGTGAATTACACTTTATAAAAAGAGGGTGGGGGTAACTCAATTTCAAAGCTGATCCAAGAAAATAATGATATTCTGGGGAAAAGGAGGCCAAAGTCAACAAAAGGATAATGGCAAGGTGGCCCTGCTCTGTTTAGAATGTTCCAGATGAAAGGCGTTTTCTCTTGGTCATTATCTACTCTTAAAAAGCATGACTGAGTTTCGTTAGTGATGATTAGCAAATGTCCTTGTTTACACAAAAAACGCATTTTTCCAGCACCCAACTGCTCCTCTCCAGGTACTCAGCCTGCGCCAGCATTCCCGAGCCAGAAAAGCAGTCATTACTGCACTAATGATTTGTTAAATTGAGAGTGTGGATTTAGAGGGTGAATGGGAGGTGCCAGCTCCCTTGTTAACAATGATGAGTGTGAATAGTCTCAGAGAGCTCCCTCGAGATCTGCGAAGTGGAAAGTGCACAGCTCAGGTGGGATTTTGCTGACAGAGAGATAAGCTTGCCCCACTGGGGTCCTAGCTGTCATCATCAAAGTCGATAGGTTTCCAGCCTGTCAAGTCTGACAAGCTGGCCTCAGTGTGTGACTAAGGTCAGCACAAACCACAGGAAACTGTCAACACCCGGCACAAGGTGGAAGAGGCAAAGGGCAGCCGAGAGGGAGAAAGGCGAAGGGAGGAGAAAAGGTCCCCGTGCACCCAGGACCTTCTGGGGTGCTTCTTCTCCCGAGCTTTTCATTCTTTCTCTTGGCTGGAATGTTGAGTAATGCTTAGGATCCCAGGCTCCCGGGTTAGTGAGACCTGGTTTCAAATCCTTCTCCACTACTGACCTTGGGCACATTGCTTCAGCAATCTGAGCCCAGCTCTTCTTCTGTAAAGTGGAGGAGAGTGATGCCTACCCATTGGGCTGTTGGGAGGACTCGGGGTGTGCAATAAATTAAAACTGTTGTTTTAACATTATCATTATTACTTCTGCAAGCTGCAGAACTACCAAAGGCAGGGTAGACAGATCCTGGGTTCAAATCCTGGTTACCAGCCCTGTGACCTTGGGCAGGTCACTTCACCTTTCATGACCTTTAACATGTAGATGGTAAGAGTACCTACATAGTTCCTGTCTTATAAGGTTATAAGGGGTTAAACGAGTTAATATACATATGGCCCTTAGCACAGTGCCCGGCCCAGAGAAGTGCAGTGTAAGTGTGAGCCATTATTATTGGGCTGTCCCCCAGTTCCCAGAGCTCTGCTGCCAGGATGTACCATCTTGTGACTTTTGGTGGTTGAACCCGAGACCAAATCCAACATTCCAGTGGAATGCATGTTCATACCCCACATTGAAAACCCCAATGCAGGTCACCCTCTCCAAGGGGCTGTCCCTTGGGCAGTTAGCCATGCATGTCACAAGATTGGGAAAGGAAATGGTGAGCTTGGTAGGGGCCAGATCATACAGGGCCTTCTAGGCCGTGGAAGGGAGGCTGAATTTCACTTAGAATACCTCTCCCGTAACCCTAACCACAGTCTGCCTGTAGTTATGACATTGGCACACAGATTTTATCTCCCTTCCAGACAGCAAGGTCCTTGAAGTCAGGGATTCTCTGATTGGTCTTTGTTGCTCCCTCCCATGCTTGCCTATCATAGAGCAAACTCTGAGCCAACATGTGTGCAATGAAATAAAAAATAACAGAGTCCAGCCTCCAAAGAGCTTATGAGAGGCTCTGGCTGCAACATCGGTCACCTGGAAACCAGATGGGTAAATCTGGCTCAGGGTGCATCCTGGGCAGGGGTCCCCGCCCCCTCACGTTCCCATGGGATCACTCTGAAGCTGAGAGTGTGTTCAGAGAGGACCCACCTTTCCATGAGCAGAAGCTTCCACATGTAAAAGGGAGTTGTCATGGCGATTAAATAAAATAGCACCCCTCCACTCTCTCTCCCCTCAGCTGCTTTATTCAATGCATAGCATCTGTCTCTGTCTCCACTTGATACATGGTTGACTGGTTGGTTGATTGGTTGGTTGGTTATCTGGCTCATCTCACTAGTCAAAACCTCCTGAGAACAGTGAATTTTGCCTGGCTTGTTCACTGCTGTATCCCCAGCACTGACAGTGCCTGGCACATAGTAGGTGCTCAATAAATAAATGTCCGTCGATTAACATGTGATAATGACTATAAAGTACTTCGGAGGATGCCTGGCACATTCTAGGCACCTATTAAACAATATGATAATTATTGTTAATACACAATAAGGCACATTAATTATACAATAGTGCATAAAGCACACAGTATGTAATAAAACTGTATATGACAAGGTACTAAAATTATGACAGAGCTTATGTATGTGAAGGAAGAGTGTCAGTGATTAGCAGAGGCAATAACAATGTGTGTATAGCATTCTAAAGTTTACCAAGGCCTTTGCACACCTGATCTCATTTTATCTTCTAAGCATTCCTACAAAGTGAATGACATTATTCCCCACATTTTATAGGCAAAGAAATGACCCTTGCATGGGTTAAAATGACTTGGTCAAAGTCACACGTAGTTAGCAAAAGGAAGAGCTGATCAAGAACCAAATTTTAAGTCCTGTAATTGTCCAGAGGTATCACAGAGCTGTGGGTCTCAGAAGAGCAAGGGTGATGGTGGCCACTGGCTTAACCTCTGATGCTTCATCAGGCTTGGAGGCTCTTACAGTTTACTCTTTCTTTAAACACCATCCTTTGTCCTGCTCAGGGCTGGAGGACTGCCTTCAGGTACCTTCACTCTCAGAGACAACCCCTTGGCTGTAGGCTTCTCTTCTCTGACTTTCTCCGATGCAGGGAACCCAGTCTTCTCATTGACTCACATATGTCTCAGGGCCTTTGCACATACTACATCCCTTGCCTGCAACACAGAAAACCCCAGAGCTTCAGAGTAGCACTCTGTTACTTCATCTCACTGAATATATGTTCTTGAAGGTAAAATGGTCATTCTGACACTCAGGTTATACTGAGAATTAAATGAGATAATGTCTATCGAGTGCCTGGTAAAGAGCTTGGGGCAGAGCAGGTGCTCACTAATGGTGACGTATGAACTCTACACTTCCTCCAAGGACCGGGCCAAATGCCACCTCCACCATAAAATATTCTCTCTCCCTCCCTAGTCAGGGAGGGTCTCCTAGTTACCATGCATTCTTACTGCATTTTGTTTGAAATGATAACTCATCTAGTTTTCTATGTCACCCACTGGGCTGAGCAATCTGCTGAAGGCCAGAGACAAATTCTCCTTAACCTTTGTGTCCCTGGGGCGTTGGTGAGAGTAAGCGCTCACTAAACGTTTACTGAACTCACTGATGAAAGTAATGGTCCTGCCCATGGCCTTGCCTCTTGCAAGTGCGGACAGCTCTGTGCGCTTCTTCTCAGCCTCTAGGACGCAGCACACCTGTGAACCAGGAACTGCCTGGTGGGATTTGACTTAATCTGGAGGCGGGCAGGACTTGGGGCCTGAATTTTAGCAATTGTCCTCTGGCCTCCGAAGAGACTGATCCGTGTTTGATTCTCTGCTTCCGCAGTGACTTGCAAGATGATTTTATCTCCCCATGTGGGGCCTGCCGGCAGGTCATGAGAGAGGTAAGCAGCTTCCCTTTCTTTCTGGAACGGATGCCTCCCTGCTCTTCCCCAGGCCTTGGGAGCTGAGCCAAGCTGCCAGTGAGGAGACACAGCAACTGTCCTGGTTGCTGAGTTGGCTGATTCCTAAGGCCTTCCCAAGCTTGCGTGAATCACTGGAAATTATTCTTTCATTCAACAAATACTTACTGAGTGTCTGCTCTGTGCTGGGCATTGACCTTGCTCTGGGGAGACAGCAGTGAAAAGGCAGGCCAGGCCCGGCACTCACAGACTTTATAGTCTAGTGCGGGAGACAGACAAACAAGGAGCAAAATAAATCAACAGTAGAGTTTCTGAGAGGGACGAGGGCTACAGAGAAAAGAATGCAGAGAAAAGGAGTCGAGAGTGACAGAAGGGGCAGCTGACTCTAGGTCAGTGTCAGAGCAGCAAACTACAGCCCAGGGGCAAATCCAGACTGCTGCTTGTTATTGTAAATAAAGTTTTATTGGCACGCAGGCATGCCCACTCACTCACACGTTGTCTCTGGCTGCTTTGCTCCTACCACGGGAGAGATGAGGAGTTACAACATGGACCTTATGGCCCGCAAGGCCTAAACTGTTGACTACCTGGCCCTTTATGGAAAAAAGTTTGCCAACCCCCTGCTTTAGATGGCCAGGAAGGGCCTCTCTTGGAAGACGGCATTTGAGCAGAGATATAAATAATGAGAAAAGATGAGGCAGACCAAGGCCTAGAGATTTCCAGGCAGACGAAGCAGCAAGTTTAACGCCCATATACTTGGTGAGTTGGATGAGTCGTATGAAGGACAAAGAGGCTAGAACACGGGGGCAGGGGTTGGGGTGCGTGGTGATAGGAGGTGAAGTCAGAGGGGTGGGCAGGGGCCAATCATGCAGTAGGCCATGAATGGAGGGTACGTTTTATTCCAAGAATAAAGATAACTGAATCGTACACTTAAAAATGGTTAAAATGATTTTACGACATTGAAACAAAAGTTGGGGGAAGAAAAGAATAAAGGGAATTCACTGGTTGTTTTTAAGAGGGAACTTAAAGGATCTGATGTACTTTTTACAAAGATCTTCTTGGTGGAAGACTTCAGTTTCTTCAATCCTAAAAACAAAGGGGTGGATCTGGCCGTGGCTTCTGAATCTGGGCTCAGTGAAGTTTTTGATTTGTAAACGTACATTGGGGGAGGGGGGATGTCCGTGGCTTTGGTGGACTCGCAAAGGGGCCTGTGTCCTCCAGAGTCCCCCAGAGGCTAAAGCCACCAGTTTAAAGAATCCCCACGCCCTTGGGCTCTGATGTGACGTCATTGGCCCCTGTAAATACAGCATCTCATTTAATCTCCACCCCCCAGCTGGAGAGACGTGTGGGTCATTATCCCCATTTCTCAGGGAAGTGAAATGACCTGCTGAAGGACATGCAGCCGGTCAGTGGTGAGCTGGCATTCACCGCAGTTCAGGCTGACTGCAAAGCCCACACTCCCCGCGGAAGCCTCCCTGCCTTTATGGTCCTATAAATGGAACAAATTATTTTCGGCCCCAGTGGAGATATAATGATGCCTTGCAGCGTAGGACCTGCTTATTCCATGGGGGCTTCTGCTCTGGGAACTGTCTGAAATGCGGGGAAGTGGGGCTTCCTTCAGTTTTGCTTTTGTGCCTTGGGGGTTTCAAAGCATCTCTCGAACATGCAAACATCTCCGTCCTCCTTCTGCTTCTTGCCAGGACTGCAAATCAGGCACAATTAGCAGAACTCATGTCCCAAATCCAGATGAAAAATGCCACCACGAAGGCACTGAATTCACAATAGGCACTTCATCTCCCATTAGAGGGGCACAAATGGCTGCCCAGCACCATGGCATGTCCAAGGCCACATAAGGAAAGCACACCAGAATGCCAGCTCCCTGACTCCCGAGGCCCTGCCTCAGTCTAATTGCTCATTGCTGTTTTCTCCAGACAGATTAGATGCTGGCAGATGAGAGAATGGGGAATGGAAAAGCTGAAGGAGGGAGAGGCAAAACTGAAACCAAGATGCAAAGAATAAGAGCTGAAGCTTGGGGGCCAGGGCCCTGGTGCTTAAACTCACCTCCACTCAAACTCACACCCATGCCCTCAGGCAGAGCCCGCCAAGCAGAAAAATTTCCTTCCTTAAAACATTAATTTTAAAGAGCCAGAAAAAGGAAAGAAATTGGGTCATTTGTAGAGACATGGATGGATCTAGAGACTGTCATAGAGTGAAGTAAGTCAGAAAGAGAAAAACAAATATCGTATATTAACGCATATATGTGGAACCTAGAAATATGGTACAGATGAACCGGTTTGCAGGGCAGAAATAGAGACACAGATGTAGAGAACAAACGTATGGACACCAAGGGGGGAAAATGGTGGGGGTGGTTGGGGTGGGGGGGATGAATTGGGAGATTGGGACTGACATGTATACACTAATATGTATAAAATGGATAACTAATAAGAACCTGCTGTATAAAAAATAAATAAAATTAAACTTTAAAAAGATAATAATAAAGTAAAATAAAATAAAAAGCCAGAGACGGATTGTGCCTGGTGATAAGTTGGTGATTCAGACTGAAGCGTGAACAGCAGGCGGCAAAGCTGAGCGGTCACTAGGAAGCACAGGTCATCAGTAGGAATGGCTTCCATTGATGGAGTATTTACTACGCGCCAGACACTGCTTGCAGGCACCTCCAGGACTCAGCACTGGCCAGGCAGAGCCTCGGGCTGTTGACTCCAACTCCAGGACTCTCTCCATTACACCACAGCTGATTTAACTCTCCACCTAGGACACCTATCTTCCTGCCTAATAAGTCTTTTGTCTCTAAAACCACTTCACAGATCAAGACACACACAGAGACCCAAAGAGTTTAACCATTTGCCCCACGTCACACAGCCAGCATGTAAGAGAAAGATGGGGACAGAGATTTGGGCTAAAACTCTGCTTTCCTGACGTTACCCTGCAAAACCTCAGTTTCCTCATCAGTAAAATGGGGATAGTATCCCCCTCCCTCAAAGGGTAGATGGCGAAATCCTGCATGTTCCAGTCGGGTGTGGGGTGAGGCAGGCACGCCGCCTCTCCTGGCTGTCAGGACTTACGGAGAGGCTCTAAGGGAAGCGGATATTAGTTGTTCTTTTTCACAGCAGGAGGGGATCTGGCCCCAGGGGTTAGATATTGTTCTTGTAAAGCCCTGGGTGAGTCCTTAATCAGAGAACGGAGCATTGATCCGCCCTTTAGCAAGGTGCAAGCACTGTGCTAACTGCTTAATTTGCCATCTTTCACGGGCTCCTCCCTCAAGCTCTATGCACCAGGTATGATTATTGTCATTCCCATTTTACAGGTGAGAACACCGAGGTACAGAGACGCATGTTAGACAGTAAGAGATAGAGCCAGATTCAAACCCAGGTCAGCCCTCAGCCCTCACCCCTTGGCCACACTGCTTCCCTCACACTGGCTTTGTCTCTTCCAGTTTGGCACTGACTGGGCTGTCTACATGACCAAGCCGGATGGCACGTACATTGTCAGGACAGTCCAGGAGCTGCTGCCTGCCTCCTTTGGGCCCGAGGACCTGCAGAAGATCCAGTGAGGGACGGGGAACACCCACCGCCTGGGAGACCCTGGGTTCCCACACGTGCTTAAGGGGACAGCCACCCAGAGAACTTCATGAAGATGTACTCACAGACCTGGGGATGCCTGCCTAGTGGTCCCCAACCCCACAGGTGCTGGGCAGAGATGACTTTTCCAAATTACACTCAAGCAGTGGGGTTTCTACTGAAGTGATACAGGGTTTCCCTCCAGCCTGGGCCTACAGCCCCTCCTTGCAACCCTCCTTGTCCTCCCTAGGACTCAGAGCGCCCCCGTCCCTCTCTTCCGTCCTGCCAAGTCTGTGCTGTCCTGCTTGGTTCTATCCTATCTAAGGTTCTATCCTGCTCTGAGCGACTTTTCTAATTATAAACATTACAGAACATACTGATTTGGGAGAGCACGTTTTGCTGTCTCAATCCTTGCTGTAGCTCTTAGGAGGGGCAGGGTGATTCGTCTTTATAGAAAGACCTGGATTCTTTCTTCTGGGAGAGGAAACAGGCACCTTGGACCTGTGTAGCTGGTGTGGAGAGCTGAGTTTTTAGGCTTCCTGCCCCTGCCTTCTCCAGATGGGAGGCCGCTGGGCTGGATCTTACTGCCAACGGCCGTTTCTAGAGTCGTTCTGGGCTCAGTTAGACCCGGGTACTGGATGCTGTCACCCCCAAGTATAAAGGGGGAGGCGTGAGTTTGTCTAGACAGCAGAGCAAATGTCTCTATGAGGACATACTCTGTGTCAAGTACTTTTGCGTGGATTATTTTGTATTTAAAGTACTTGACAACTCGGCGAAGTAGCTATCTCCCCCTTCTTACAGATGAGGGCCTTGGTTGAGTAACTTGCTTTAGGACTGCAGCAAAATTCAAACCAGAATCCAGGTCCTGTAACTCCCACTATGGTCTAGAAACAGTGCCTGCTCCTTGCCACCCGCTGGGATGTGGCAGATCTGGAATTGGAACCAGGTCTGTCTGACTCTGAGTGTTTTTCCCATTCTCCCACAGCTGATGTCTGGCTGCCCTTATTTACTGAGTCTCTTTTATATGCCAAATACTGCAGAGGGAAAGATGTATAAGAAACAGTCTCTGCCCTTGAGAAACTTGCCGTCTGATGGGGAGAGAGAGGTGTAAACAGGACTAATGCACAGAAATACACACTGTGGTCCAGGCGGGTACCAAGTGCAGGGTAGGCATAGTTCCGGGGGGCATGCTGCCTTCTGGGGAGTGAGGAGGGTCAGGGAGGGGACTGTCTGTTGGTACAATTAGGGAGGTGAGGACTGAATAAGGGAAGGAGCTAGGCTGGCCCTGTAAAGGGGGCTGACAGCTCTGGGTGTCCTCCCTGGAGGAGTTGGCCTTGGGGTGAGCTTTGGTGGCTGGGGTACGAATAGGGTGTAGATTTTCCTCTTTCCCAGGCAAGCAAGTTGCTGGGGACACAGGAAGTGGACAGGTAATTCACCCCTTCCCTGGGAGTCCTTTCTACTGAGATCAGAGCACCTGCAGGGGTTACTGCCCGTTAAGACTGGCTTTTCCATCACACACCCAGACCTACCTGCTGCCATCCTGCCTTTCTTTAGAAGTGGCTGCTGCGGCCTCCAGCACATTCCTCTGAATGTTCTCAATAAAGAGGAGTGGAGAAGGAAAAAGAAGGAAGGTGAAAGAAAATAGGCCAAGATGTTAACATCAGTTAAACTTCTGCTTGATGCGAGTCTAGATTAGTGGGTTTTTTCCTTTGTACATGTCTGTATTTTTTAAATTTCCAAAACATTTTTTTTTTCTATTTAACAAGAAAAAAATGGTATAGCACAATGGTTGAAAGTTGGAACTTCAGAGTTGAACAGCCTCCAAACCTTGTGGCTTTGGGCAAGCGATTTCATTGCTCTGAGTCTCAATTTCCTCATCTGTAAATCAGGGATGACAGTTCCCAGCATACAGCATTGTCGTGTGGATCAAAGGAAATAATGCCCTATTGAGAGCCCAGTGCTGGGTCCTCAGTAAGCTCTTGATACATGCCAGCTGTTCCTTTTATTAAGGGTGACAAATTTGGGTCCTCTGATGATGGATTTGAGTTTTGCAAACAGGCTTTTACATTCATTTAACAATTGTTTATTGAGTGCCTACTGTGTTGCAGGGCTGGGACCTGACCCTGGGGATACAATAGTAAATAAGACATAAAATCCCTGCCCTCACAGGGTTCTGTCTAGCTGTGGCAAATGACATCTAAATGATTCTAGTACTTCATGACAAGGGCCACCCAAGGGGAAGAAAGTGCTCCAGGGGCAAGTCACAGGAGGAGTGGAGCTTGCCTGAGAATGGGCAGAGCAGCCCTGAGGAGGGGATATTTCAGCCAGGGCACAAGAAGGGTCAGCGCATTAGGGAATGCGGTTTGGGGAGGGTCAAAGAATGAGGGCTGTCTGGAGGACGAAGCCCAGTGTTCTTATACTTCATGGAAACAGACTGGGGAAGGCAATTTGCAAAGAAGGATTCCAGAAATTATTTGAACAACGTCCCCTTGGAAGAATCACATTCATTTGGCTGCAGAGAAGCTGGGAAGTTTGTTTAAAATAAAAGCACTTTCATTTTGCAGTCCCACTGTTCTGAGGGCTGTGATTTCAGAGCAGCATGTGCTCTATTGTTCAGGGCTGTCTGTGTTTTTTAGGACCCTAAAGCTGAGTCCCAGATTCCCATGGACATATTCCAATAGAAGCATGTATATTTCTGTGGCTCTTGCCAGCTGCTGCTAATTGCTTATGTAAACTACAAGATTCTTTAGGATTTCCTTTTGGGAGGGAAGAGGGCACAACTACGATTGATGGATGCCAGGGGTACTTTGGGTACCTGTGTCAGAAATGAAGCCAGAAAATGCTGTTCAAGAATAAATAATGGGGGCTTCCCTGGCGGCGCAGTGGTTGAGAGTCCGCCTGCCGATGCAGAGGACGCGGGTTCGTGCCCCGGTCCGGGAAGATCCCACATGCCACGGAGCGGCTAGGCCCGTGAGCCATGGCCGCTGAGCCTGCACGTCCAGAGCCTGTGCTCCACAACGGGAGAGGCCGCAACAGTGAGAGTCCCGCGTACCACAAAAAAAAAAAAAAAAAAAAAAAGAATAAATAATGGAATGGCCTAATAAGTCTCACACACACACAGTATTTTTTATACAATTATATGAGCACAGAAACAGGCGTGGAAGGAACACCTAGTCTGTTAATAGTTTTTGAGGGGGTATGGGAAGGGGAAGTTAAGCGAGGGGCAATTAAAAACCTGTTTCCTGTTCTATGACTGAACAGGAAAAAAAATGGCATAATGATTGTGTTAGTTACCTATTGCTGTGCAACAAATTATGCCAAAATTTAGCAGCTTGGGACAACAAAAATTTATTATCACACAGTTCCTGCAGGTCAGGACTCTGGGCTAATCTAGGTCATCTCAAGGTTTCATACAAGGCTGTAGTTAAGGTGTCAGCTGGGGCTGCAGGCTCATCCAAAGGCTTGACTGGGGAAGGATCCACTTCAGAGCTCACAGGTGTGGTTGTTGGCAGGACTCCTATGGGCTGTTGCTGTTACCATTTAGTTCCTTGTCACTTGGACGTCTCTACAGGGCAGGTTACAACACAGCAGCTGGCTTCCCTCAGAAGAATCAAGCAAGAGAGCAAAAGAGGGAGCAAGACAGATGCCAGAGTCTTTTGGTAACCTAACCATGAAGGTGACTTCCCATCACTTTTGCCAAATTCTATTCCTTAGAAGAAGTCACTAAAGTCCAGCCCACAGTCAAGGGGAGGGGATTCCACAAAGCCATGGTTGGGGGGGAGGAGGGGGTGTCACTCTAAAGATGTAAAAATTGAAAATGTACATAGACAGGAAAAAAGAAGAAAACAGAAAAGTGGGTAAGGGCGGCAGGAGGACCAGAAGAAGCAGGCCTGGTTGGCCCTGTTAAGGAGTTGACCTTATTCCAAAGGGCAGCTATCAGTTTCAGATGGGGTGGGGTGGGGTGACATGGTCAGCTTTGTGCCTTAAATAGCTCAGTCTGCCAAATCAGGGGATAGTAGAGAACTGAAGGAAATCATAGAAGAAATAGCCAAAGGAGTAAAATAGCATGCCTCTGGGCTTAGAGGGAGTTGGAACAGGAGACCGTTTGCTTTTCATGATGAGCCCATCTCTATATACTGTTAGTGTTTTTTTAAACCAAGGATGCATATTACTTTTACTTAAAAGACTTTTTAATTTAAAAAAAAAGAAAGAATAAAAGAAAGAAGCTTTTAGAAAGGAGGTTCATTTAGCAATAATGTAGTGTAAATTCTAGAGAGCAAACTCAGCAGTTGATTCTGTTGTGGGCGGGGATTGAGCTATTTGACTTTCCTGTTGTTTCCTTCTGGTTTCTCCTCTGGCTCACCCCTGGGAAGGTGGAGTGAGTCATGTGATTTTGAGTTTGAAAGATAGCCCAGCCCCTTCCTCTCTCCACCCCCTTGGGAGGGCTGGAGATCCAGCAGACCCCATGCTGGGTGCTAGGGGATCTAAGGTTTAAAAATCACAATCCCTGTCCTTACAGAACTGAACGTTTAGAAGGGGAGACAGAGTAGGGGCATCTAGCCCAGTCTAGGAAAGGTCAGAGAAGGCTTCCTGGAGGAGGTGACCTCAAGTATGAATGGGGATTCGTTCAAAGAGGTAAATTAAGACAAAGGGATCAGCATGATGCTTGGGACAACTGCAAGTAATTCGGTATTGCTGGACCACAAAGGGCAGGGAAGGGGGACAGCAAGAAAGATGCTAGGGCCAAAGAGTGAAGCACCTTCTCTGCCAGGCTAAGGAGCTTAGGCTTTATCCTGAGAGCAATGGGCAAGGACAAAGAGCCTGTGAAGGATTTTAAGCAGCAGGTGACATAGCCATATTTGTACTTTGAATAATCACCGCAGGGTAGCAAACTTACTGGACTGCATAAACCACAGACTGAATGTCTCAACAACACCGCACCTCCACAGTCCATCACCACCACATTTGCATCCACCTTGCCCAGGCAAAACAGAGACACTTCTTCCCAATGAAATCTCACTCTCTGCCCACCGTTGTCGGATTCTAACCTCTAAAAACTACAGCCCAGGAGTTCCAAGTAGCTGGATTTTGATCCGGCAGCAGCTTTGCTCTGTCAACAGTTTTAGCAAAAACCCCTTCCACCTCTGCTGGCAATTCACAGATAACATTTCTGAAATGGTCTGTGGATAAAAGATGTTGCTGCCCTGGGAAAACGTGTCTGTCTCCTGCCAGGAGGAGACAAAGAGCATTGAAATGGTGCCAAAGGACATCGTCCACGAGGGAAGGTCAAACAGCCCTCAACAGTTCTCTTTTTTAAGTCTTGCCTTTTTCCATTTTTATATTAGCATCAGCCTTTTTCGCCCCCATGTCCTTTGGGGGAAGGTTAAATGATGCTTCTTAGGAATATTATGCGCTTTATCAAAACTATACATACAGTCTTGCTGCCTGGAGGGAAAAGGGTACAATGAAGACACAGGATGCCACAGAGCAGAGTGTATACCAGAAAAGAATCCTGTGGCCTCTCCAGCAACCCCTTCCACTCTCCTCTAATTCTTGTGGCTGAGCATAGTAAAGGCTGCCTTGGATGTTTAACAAATATTCTCTGAATGAATGAGACTACTCCCAGACAGAATATTAAATCTGCAGTATAAACAGATATTTTAGCAGAAAAGCATATGCCGTATCCCTGAATTCACCTGCGTGGGATACCATTATGGGGGAAACTCAGGATGATTCCCCTGAGACCTGAGACATGGTACCACCGTGGAAGACTTCCTTCTCAGGAGGACAGATGAGGCCAGTGGAACCAGGGCCGTGATCCCTACGAAAGGCAGCCCCTGGGGCCCACACAATAAGGCTGTATCTCTACCCTGAGAAGGGAGAGCATGGAACCCTGTGATCCCTGCTGGAAGCTTCTCTGTGTAGAAATCCACTTGCTTGCCCTTTCTTTTGTTTTTTATTCTGTTTTGCTTGCCCTTTCTATACAGAGGTCTGCTGAAGAATTGAGCTTCACACTGTGCTTGATTTAGACACGTCACAAGCACCTTAGATTTTTCTACAGAAGGAGAAATGAATGAGTCCAGTGCTTTCTGTTGAACAAGAAACTGCACTGTCTACAATGGATGGTTAATTAATATGAGCCTGGACATTTCATTTCTACACGTGGGTAGATTAAGCATCACAGGTTCAGCAGGTTTATTTGCAGCTTAGGGAAACAAACCCAAAGGCCAATAACAACTGCACTCTTTAACTCAGAAACATCAAAGCAATGTCCCTTTAGTGAATGTCTTACAAGCTGCATAGTCATTACAAGCCTTATGGTAAAAGGTTACATTCCTAGGAGAGTAAAGAAAATCCTTCTCGTTAAAATATTAAATATCTCAGAGAACTTCTTGTTCCTTCTCAGTAAACATCAAAGAGCTGTAATGATAATGACACACAGCAGATGGGTAGATTTAAACTTTAAAGGAGATCTTTGCCCCAACTGACTAAGTTTCCATGGTTGAGCCTGCGGTCACTGGAGTGTGAAGTTTCTCCAACCTTCTCTTTCTTACCTTTCTCCAAAGGACAATTTCAATGGAACATTTTAAAATTGTAATTTAAAATTCTCTGAGATCGATCAAAAAATTAAAGATAACATCTGATTTCCTTGTGCCTCTACAAGTAAATTGGAAGGAAATTCATCTACTTATTTATTTATGTCTCTCCCAAATAAATATGATTGCATATGACAAAGGGCCTGCCATTTCTCCCCATAGGAGAGATCAGAACACACAAACTGCTGAAACAGTTGGCCACCTGTCTCCAGCCAGGGGTCCACACTATGGCCAAGCAAGCCTGGGACCAGAACTCTTCAGATAATTGAAGATCCCTCCAGCAACACCTGCTATTTACATGTCCCTTAATTTCATATTTAAGCAGGAAGGAAGGAGTGTGAAGCCTTTTGCTTGCTCTCTCTTGGTGTCCTGCCTTTTCTATCACACCATCATCAGAAGAATCAAACTGCAGATGCTCCCTAATGCTGGCTGGCCTTAAACAGTGGAAAGTCCCATCCTTTGTTCATTCAGGAAAACGCTGACTGAGATGTGTGCTACAGCAGAGCAAAGTTCAACTCAAGGCCTATGATACAACAAAGCTCGTTATTTAAATGTATTTGTTGTTTGAAACCACTGAGTGCAATGACAATTAAGTAAATTCTGTGAACTTTATCACACTATTCAAGCTAAGTTTATTTTTCAAAAAATTTGAGACCATGAATGAGTTAGACTGAATTTTTTTTTTTGGCCATGCCGCGCCGTGCGGCTTGCGGGATCTTAGTTCCCCGACCAGGGATTGAATACGGACCCTCGGCAGTGAAATCTCAGAGTGCTAACTGCTGGACTGCCAGGGAATTCCCTCAAAATGCTTTATTTTATTTTATTTTAAAAATTTGCTTCCACCTTTTCTTTTTTTGTGGCTATTTTTTAAATTTTTTATTGCAGTATAGTTGATGTACAATATTATATAAGTTGTACTACATAGTGAGTCACAATTTTTAAAGGTTATATTCAGTTTATAGTTA